GCTTCCAGGCTGTCCCCTGAAGCCCTGAATTACCCTCCCACTTGGCCTCACGATCATGCTAGCTATCCTCTGCCTTATTTTCCTCACGGTTCAATGTTTCCTTGTAAATCTGCATCAGACGGTCAGCACCTGCCTTGTGTCTCCAGGCACTTCTGCCAGCATAATTTTTGAAAATTTTGTCGATGCTTCCATCTAGTTACCCAGCTGATCTGCTCACTACGTGAATTTCCTGTGTCTTTTCTTAGCTGGCCACGTCTCACAGCATGAAAAGAAATTAGCTGCAAGGAACAGGGGTCGGTGTGTTTAGCTGGTCCTTCTCCACTCAGTTTTAACAACCTCAGTATTGGCCATTGTTGATGGTAGCAATGTCTGCCTATTTCTAAAGCTGAGTATATCATGGGAAGACATGGAAATCTGGATATACTGTTTAATACTAGATTTTTAAATGCTAGGGTTTTTATTCTGGTGAATCAATATATTTTATCCTTGAGCACTACCATTCTAGAACCACAATAATCCATCAATAAAATAAATATTTAAACTTGTAAATTACAGTAAACAAAAGTGACCAGCATTGGTAGCCACTGCTACTGCCTCCACATGAATTGCTGGGCAGGGGTGCTTGTAGCAGCAGATGCAAGAGGTGCCCAGCACCACATCTGCCAGATCACTGGATGAGCAATGCTCTTAGCAATCTGGAACTGCCAGGGGATGCTCTGATGGAGTGTGCAGGCATCGTGTGGCCTCTGCGTAACCAAACCTGCCTTAGAGGATCAGCAGCCCTCAGCTGGTGGTTGCTTAAGGAAGTGCTGCCTACACCTGCAGTGTGGGGATGCCTAAGAGATCCCTGTGGTTGCAAGCCTAGAGGCAGCTGGTTTCCAGTCTTCACCACTGAAGGGGATGCTGATGGCATCCCCTAAGCTTCAGTGTTTCAATAGCTGCTTAAGTATTTTATTATATTTCTCTGCATCTTTCAGTAAAATAGACCCCAGGCTCAGACTCCCTGGAAGATCCCAGCCTTTGGCTATGCGGTCCTGAAGCTCTCTCCTGTTGATGGAAGTCAGCAGCAATTATGTTACAGTAATTCAGTGGAGATGCAGTTGCTGTAAATGAGCAAGGGGAGTCAGCATGGAATAAAGATTTAAGGAGAATTTGCTCATTTCAAAACAAGTGATAGACTGCTGCATCTCTGCAACTGTGCCATCCCAGAGTACAGTAAAGACTGACTCTGCAGAAGTATCCATGATGGATGATAATGAATGTTTCTTTGCATAAGATTTTCATTTTCTAGAGAGAAACATTTATTATTGGTGAGTGGTAGTATGGTGTTTGATTTTTCATCTATTTCCTAATCCACTGATAAATCTTGACTATTTAAATTCTAGCTGTCCTTAATTATCTAAATGATCCTTTTCAAAGATGACTGGCATTTGGACAGAATGAGCAGCCTGGCCCACCAGGTCTGCTGGAAGTTTGGTCCAAGCAGAAAAGCAAAAGTAAAAAAAGAGAGGAAGTCAGAACTGGTACAACCTGCCAGCTCTTGGAAGGAATATACTGGCTTCAAGGTGGCTTGCAGAGTTGCTTCCTTTGGGCCTGGACAAAAATGCCTCCTTTGCCTTTCTTGTTCCAGGTTCCTGGGGCTCACTGGCTTGGCTGAGATCAGCTTGATTCCCACACAACGCAAGGTTGAACCAGGGCAGGTTCTTGGATGTTTGAGTGAGGGAACTTGGCCCTGGTCTTTGTCTAGAGACTATCTTTTCCAAAGAGGTTTTGGTTGCTGCTCCAAAGCTACAATGCAGTCAGGTCAGGAAATGAAGAGGGAAAAAAAAAAAAAAAAAGAAAGGAAAAAAACCCCCACAATCCACTGAATCATAATCTTTAAATCATGAGATTTGGAAAAAAAAGCAAAATGTCATTAAGAATTTTTATTCTGTCTTTTGACTTTTAATCTTCTTACTCTCATGTGTGAGATTATTCTTCCATTTGAAAGATGCTCCTCTGATGGAGACTGGGGTAATCCTTTCTGAGGGGAGTTACCATGCATTAATCGCTTGTCTTGACTCTTTTCCTTCTCTTTTTTCCCACTTCATCCTACCTTTTTTGTTGTTTAGACCTGCATTGGAGCTACAAAATGTGTCTGGAGAAAATGATAGAAAAAACTGAATACAACTACTTCTTACATATTATATTTTCTGATTATTTTTCAATAAGAAATTATCTTGGTTGCAAAAACATTATATATAAGTGTGTAATTGCATCATCAACCACTTTCTAATTGCTAGAAAAAAACATTAGCCCAAACAAAGCTTTCCATAACTTAGTGTTATAATTAGATTTAGAATCTTTCAATATATCTTAAAAAATATTTCTCACTTTCAAAGCACTTCAAATAATTTAAAATCATTCTCATTTCTTTATACAATTTCTGTCAACTGCATGGTGATATAAATTATTCAGTAATTACAATAAATATAAGCTTAATATACATATATATCATTGCAATTAACTGTCCAAATAAGTAGAAGTAATATATTTTCTTTTAATTCTCTTTTGATTTCACAGCTTCAAAAATTGTTCTTTGCTTGAGACCCTACATCTCCCTCACAGTTTATCCCTACCAGTAGAGAGCACCTTATTCATATGCTCTGAATTGACGTCGGGAGGGGTTTCTCCTCTGGTCATAAAAGGAGCCTGGCTCTTCATGTGCATAGTAAGACAGTTTTGCTTCAACTGTTCTGCTGCCTGCAGGACTGTGGCCCTTAAATCAGGTGTCTTCACCCCAGCTATGGCTCACAGAGCCTGAAGCACCTCTCCACTGCTGGTGACATGGAAACTGAGTGCCAGGTCCTCTTGAGTCAGCTTGGTGGGGCCAGCATCTTCTTGTAGGACACAGCCTCCACAGAGATGGCATTGATTTCGGTTGTAGTGTGAGTGGGCAACAACCTCCAAAAAGTCCAGGCAAGGAAACCTGAAGGCAGAGTTATCTGTGCTGGATAGCACAACATAGTGCTAATGCAGTGCTTCAGCTGAAAGTCTATGTTTGTGGGCACCTGGGCTTTGTCCAAAGACATGCACTGTTAAAAAGAGAGGGTGAAGGTATTCATCTCCTGTGAGAGGAGAAAGCAGTTCCCTTCTGGCCGGGGCTGGGGCTGTTGCTGGATGTAGGTTGACCTGGAGCTCTCATAGGCATGAAACCCCACAGCAAAGGGTTTGAGATGGTTCTGGACCACCATACCCATGCTGGGAAGGTGAGTCCATGTTGCCTTTTGTACCCACTATGAACAGGAGCAGTTGGAGAACTTGGTGGTGAAGAAGAGCATGAGATGATGGTCTCTGCAGAGCAACCTGAAGAAGAGATATGAGATAAATGCACACCAGGAAATAAACGGGCATCTCCAGCCCTTCACCTCTCTGGGCTGCAGTCTTCAGCTCCAGCATGTCTGTCTGAGATCATCTGTGTTAGTATCAGCCTTTGTTTAATAGAAAGAAAGTGAGGTAGTCAAATACCCTTTGGGTTCGTTGGTTATTAAGTCTCATTCCTCAGGCTGTGTCACCTGGCCTTGTTTTCTATTTTGCAATTACAGAACAAAATCATATTCATAGAACTTGGGATTTTTATCTATTCTGCAATGGGTATATTCCTGTCTATCCTTTCCAGAATCTTCCCGTGTCTCTCTTTAGGAACCAGGATGTTAGTACACTCTTTGCTTAGCCTTTAAACTTCCCTTTTAATTGGAAGGAAGAGTATTTGGATGGTGATAAGACCACCCAACCAGCCTCTCTGTTCCTGGAGAGTATTTCCTCAGTTTCGCTGCCAGCAAGTATCAGCTGTCCTCTGCTTGAATGAAACGCATCCTGGGAGCTTTCTGGTGTGTTTGGGATGGCTCAACCCAAAGTGTACGGTGCATGCCTGGCTGTGATGGCCATGCTAAAGGGCTCTGGGCTGTCTGAGAAGCTGCAGGCTGGGTCCTGCCTGGGAGACCTCAAACACAAACCGAGGTGGGGGCTGAGGGCTGGTGGGCAATTAGTGGATGGGAAAGTATAGAGGTGATGTTGGTGGGGCAGCACAAGTCTCCAGGGAGCAAATCAGGGCAGTGAATATGTATCAGAAGAACAATCGTAATGTTAAATCCATCAGACTGCTGAATTGTTGGCGTTTTTGTTTTCTTTTTTTTTTTTTTTTAATCTGATGGGAGGGGGTAGGAGAGGGCATTCCTGATACTTTTATTCATCTGACTAAAGAGCTCATGTTAACATTCACTTTTTAAAATACAGCATCGGCCTGCGTGTAAAATGAGCTTTGAAGTGCAGAGCTGACAAACCCCAGGGGAAAGCATGTCTTTTATTAACAACTGCTGGTACACTTCAGGAACCTTATTTTAATGTTTAGTGAAAACGTTTTCTGTGTGAGCAGAAAGAATTGCTGGGCTGAAACATCCACTGGCCGTGGCAGGAGGCTTCAGTGCCCATTTACCCTCCTGCTCCCCTTCTTCACAGTGCCTTGAACCCTCAGGTGGGGTGGGAGGAGCAGCCTGTGGTGACAGTCACTGCCAAGGCTCTGTGAATAAGTCACAGTGTGTTGTAGCTACTTGTGTTGTAGAGTTGTGACATGGCAGTTGTTTTGCTTTCTTTCTTAATTTTTTTTTTTTTTTGGTTGGTTGTTTTGGTTGTGTAGGGGTTTTTTTCGTTTGTTTGTTTTTTGTGTTGAGGTGACTTAGAGCCCAAGGCTGCTTTTGGATTTAAGTAACATGCTGGGTTCTGGTTCTTCAAAACGGGTTTAGGTGCTTTTGGAAAACATTTTAACAAAGAAGCAACATTAGTGTGTTATATACCTATATTTCTGTAGATCTGTTTTAGATATATTTATTTAATGCAGCAAGTGGATCCATTCTTTCCTGTCTTTAATCTGCCTTGCACAAATAGAGATTTATCTGCAAGCTCTCTTCTCCCTCTAGCAGTGCTATGCATCCTTGCTTCCACTTGCTTTCTTTGCTTGACAGGTCCCCAGAATACATCCAGATGGTACGGTGATGAGCACAAGCAGATAAAGGAAAGCCCCAATCTCCTGCAGATGGTTATTCCTGTAAGTAGAGCTAGAAGTTGTAGACTGCTAGAAGAGGGTCACAGACCTTGATGTTTTGGGTCTTCAAATCAAATCCTGCTGAGGGTGACAGTGATATGACAAGGAGTACATGTCATGACCGTTCTCACTATGAAGCTGTGGGCTAGTCTCCAAAAGATCTTGTAGATGTTGGTATCATAACAGTCTTCCCAGTGATGGTGTGGGCTTGAAATTTTGACAGTAATTGCAACAGAAAAGCCATTGATTGAATAAGCAATGGCAATCTGGTTTCCATAAGAAAGAAAGCAAGCATGCTGTCATGATGGCTCTCGGGAAGCTGTACCTCTGTGAGCAACGTAGAATAAATGCAGACTTCTCCATGTCTGTCCAAGTCACCCCTTCCTCATAGCTCCATTCCTTGCTGCATGGCTCAGCCCCTCTACTGCTGTAGTGGGATCTGTCCACTCTTTCTGAAACTTGAATAATTTGCTGTAATGCTTGGCTACCAGTGAACTTCTAAAACGTGAGGAATTTCCCTGTAAATTGGAAGTGTTCCCTGCCAGCCTGCAGCTGTGGTGATAAGGAGGAACGGGAGCCCCACCAGTGGTGGACCACAGTAGTGTGGTTGATCATGCTGGTGAGGCAGAGGCCAGCAGTGTAGCTCATTTGGCTCCAGCTGATATCTCTGTATCTAAAATGAAAACAGCATAAGGAACAAATGTGTTTTGCTGAGAGCCAGGACAGGGTGAACAGTATAGATTTCTACCTGCTGGTTTTCAGTTACAAGTCCATGGGATCTCCAGAAAGCAAACAGCCAGAGCAAGAAGGGACCTTCTTGTCTTTCTAAGATGATCCACTGAAAAAACACAACGTAGCCTCAGATCTTGGGAGTCCTTGGACCAAACCCTGACATTTATATCCTCAGCCCTGGACTCCACACAAGCTAATTGCTCTTCTTGCAAGGGTCTCTCGACTTCACAAAATTATACACAGTTTGATAAGGGTTTATAAGAGACATCCTCATCTAAAGACTATGGCAGGTTAAATGACTTGTCCAAGGCTAGAGAAAAAGGTCAGTATCAGTGCTGTGATGAGACATTTGCAGTACTTGGCCTTGGGATTTGAGGATCAGAATGGCTGATACAGAATGAAATACGAGCATCCTGAATTTTTTATGTTGCAGTTCAAGTATATTTGGGCTAGATTCATCAAAGGAATAACCGGGAGAGATATTTTTCATTTGTAGAATCTTAATGAATACATGACACTGCTATTCATTATTTATCTGCTTTCAGATTTTAATTAATAGTTCTACTGGTCATTTCTGATTTTTTTTATATTTATAGAAAGCCATAACTTCAAAAATACTGAATCATGCTGCTGTTTCTTACCTTTTATAAAATTTCCTTAATATTAGGATGAACTGAATTTTGCTATAACCTTTAAGTACATAAATGAAGGTGAAAAATGCCTTTATTTTTCTGTTCCTTTGAGTTCTGTCAACAGTTTGTGGTTTTCCTTCCCCCAAATGCTTTTACAATGCAGCTGACATAAATTAGCCAGGGAAGCTGGTGTTTTCTTGTGCGGGAAGGAACCACTAGAGGACACCACCAGACGACTCATGAAGCAAACAGGCACAGCCATAAACAGAGAAACGGGGGAAAAAAGAGTAGGGATGGGGAAATGCTGTTCCCTAATTCCCTGGGGATGGATGGAGCTAATCTGGCACCTCCTTATTACCAGTCAGCAGACATGGTCTGGGAATGTACAGATCCCTGAAATGCCTCTTCATCCCTCTTTCTCATGATGCTAGACCAGATCTGCATAGAGGAGCTTCTCCTAGAAGCTCTGCAGAGCTGCTGTCACTGGCCTGGAGAAGCTCTGGGACCCCACTGCAGGGTAGGTCTGTGGGTGAGGTGACTTCTCTCACCATGTGAGCTCTTGCCACCCCTGCAGTACCCCAGTGACTTCTGCAGGACAGCCTTTCTAGCACGGCCAGTGTAGACTTGTACAAGAGCAGGGATATGTTGCACAGAAAGCTTACCAGGGCAGGATAGAGGGAAAACCTCCTGATCTTCTGAAACTAACGGGAAAGATGATGGAAATGTGAAGCAGGCCTCTCCCTTGCAGGTTCCCCTTAAAAGAAGTGGTTTCGGGAGCAAGGAAAGGCTCAGAAAACTTTCAAATGACAGATTTAAAGACAAGATAATGATGTCAACAAAGCAATTAGGGCTGGGAGGTGACGCAAATGTAAACATTTCCTTTGTACAAAACTGGTACCCAAGCCAGGTTCAAGGGTTTCTTCCACTTGTGGAAAAAAACCCAAACCAAACTAAACCAAACCAACAAACTCTCAATTTTAATCATTTTTTAAATATTCAAGGAAAATTGTTTGTGACAGTATTAGATCATAAGGAAGCATCTGCAGAAGAATCAGATCATGAAGTCTTGTTCTTGGGCTGTAAATCAAAAGTCTTCAGAGCAGTGAGTTCATTGTCGTTTCACAAGGCTCTGCAATCCTAAATGCAAAACCCCCATGAAACCCAATTGAAAAATTTGCCTCTTTTCCACGTGGCTTTCACCTCTGTGGTGCTGTGGATGTCAGAGAGGCAGTGAGCACTGAGACTTTCTTAAAAATCTTTTAATCCCGCAAAAATTATGTAAATCATGTGAACTCTCCATTCTACTGAAGATGATGACAAAGGCTCCGTCTATTGTTTCAGTTGTAACAGGGTTTTGTGTTTGGCTTTTGACTTCCCTGCGTTAGTCTCTATATTGATACAGTTAAACCCTCAAATGCCAGGGATTTCAGGGAAATGAAAGGCATCTAGGAAAATGCTCCACTTATCTCAAATGTATTTTTAAGTGGCTTTGAGTTTGCTTCTGAAAAACAAAATCACATACACACAAATGTACCTGCCCACGAATGCTGTTCTTATTGTGAGAAGCTTTGTCTGTGAGTTGGCAGGGCTGTGCCAAGCCTGAGGGCATTTTTCAAATAATTTTAACCAAATCCACCCATTTTTCTTTCTCAACATTTCCCTTAAGATGGCAAAAAAAAACCAAATATGTGATATGGTTATTGATTGTATCTTTTTTTAAAAAAATATAACCAAAAATGTTATTTTTTTGTTGTTAAATTTCCAGTATATTTCAGGCCTAAAGTTAAATGTACAACAGAGGATTTAAAAAATGATAATACTAGAGATTTCCAAGGTGGAACTTTTCCACTCTCTAATTAATACTTTTAATTAATGCTTTCAAAAATTTGAAACCTCTTCTTTTCCTTATTAGAATGAAAAGAGTTTGGAGAACATTTAGGTGGATTCCTAATGAATCTGCTGGAACAGTGTGTTTTGTTTTTTTTTCTAAATATATTTCTTTCCTTATTGTCAGTAGAAGGCAAAATGATATTTTTTTCCTGGTTACCTCATAGATGAGGATTATCCTCAGTAAATAGTTCCTCCACTAATGCTTACTTCTCCAGTGTTCTTTATGTAAATTAAAAGTTGGGCTGGCCAAAACAGATTCATACAAATTTTCTTTGATGGAAAACTGAGGGGTTTACCATTCTCTGAGGATGGTGTTTGCTTTCAGTAGGAACTATCCTGCTTTTCTTCAGCTGAAATCAGGAGTAAAGCACAATGTTCAAACATGGCCTTCAGGGGAGCAGCAGTAACTTCCCTTCGAGGCTGGTGAGTGGCCTCTTGCTCTGCAGGTACAAAATCTTCACAGGTGCAATTTATTTCCTGGAGAAGCAGAGCACTGCCTGCTTATGGGGGTATTTTCAGCCCAGGAGCAGCACCTCTGCTTATGCTTCCCCTGGGGAAGGTGCAAAACCAGGCTCAGGACGGTCCCTGCCCCATGGAGGTTACACCACAATGAGCTTGGTTTTCAAATGAGCATTATTTAATTGATGGTTTGGTGGTTTTTGTTTTGTTTTGTTTTTATTTTTTGTATTTTTTGTTGGTTTTTTTTTTGTGGGTTTGCTTTTTTTTTTTTTTTTTGGTTGGTTGGTTGGTTTGGAGTTGTTTTTTTGTTTGTTTGCTTGCTTTTGGTTTTTTCTTTTGTTTGTGTTTGTTTTGTTTTTTTTTTTGGTTGGTTGGTTTTTCTTTTTTTTGTTGTTGTTGTTGTTTTTTGTTTTTTGTTTTTTGTTTTTTTTTTAGCCATGCTGTGATCATGTCTCTGTACCTGTCTTGCTTTTGCAGGCTGAGCCCAGCTTGGTAAGCCCAGTTTGCCCCAGAGCTGGAGCGGCTTGTTCAGCTCTGTCCTTCCGTGAGCCAGTCACCAGAGGGGGACAAAGCCCCACGCACGGCAACCGCGGACTCGCACTCCTCCCCCCCGCGCCCCGAAAAGCTCCTTCCAAGAGCGTGCCAGGCGGGGAGATGCGTTTTGGGGTCGCGGGTCCCCAACTGCACCCATGGGTGCCCCAAGCCCCAGCGCTGGGGGCGAGGGGGGTGGCAGGTGGCAAGGACCAGCCGGGTCCTCCTTGCTATTGCATGGCACCACTGTCCCTTCAGCCTGGAAAAGATGTGCGTGCTTAAAAAAAAAAAAAAAAAGAAAAAAGAAAAAAGAAAAACAACAAACAAACAACAATCAGCACCAGCCCTTAAAACAACTGTAAGTTTGCTGGGGGTAAATTAGAAGGTTGAACTCATATTGCAAACTCAGTTTCAGAACTGCTTGGTTTTTCCTGTATTTCATTGCAACAAAAATGCTGTTTAAAAATTACTGTTCATATGTATAAAGATATCTGCTCCCCCCAGTTTTGATCTGATGCACTGAAAAATGGAACACAGCTGATGCTCAAGTTTTTAAGTTAGCACCACGCATCCAGGAGAAAAATTTGCAACCTATGGCTCTGAAAATGAGAGGAGAAGCAAATTTGGTGAGTATGATGTAGCTTTTTCAATAGTTACCTATGCCTGATTGGAACCTATAGTGAAAACAAACACAATTATTTCTGTGAAGCTGCATTTAATTTCCAAGAGAAAATACGAAATCTGTCACCTGTACGCTTGCTGTAAGGTGGTCATGGGCTGGAGGATGCCCCAGCAGCGATGCTGGTGGGTACCGGCAGTAGCAGCCAGCCCTGAGTCAGGGTGTGTGCACAGGTACCTGTGTCCTCCTGTCCCACTGCCATGTGTGACCCCTAAAATGTGGGTTACCCATGTGGCGGCACTCAGCTCCCTCCCCAAAAGCATGGAGATGACAAAGCAGGTCCCCCAAACTGAGGACCCAGGGCTGTCCCCAAGGATGTGTTACCACAGGCTGCAAGCCTGGGTTGGGTTGCTTGGCTGGCCAAGCCTGATAGAGTGAAATCTGTGAGACCTCAAGACATATAAATAATATTTGGCTTGAGACCATTTCCTTGGTGCTGGACAGCTTGCTGCTGAATGGAGTGGTTTTTTTCTCTGGATCCTCAGAGTCAGACCCTTGCCTGGATCCAGCTGTCCCTGGTAATTAAATTTTAATGCCTCAAGCTGGGAGTTTGTATTGGCATTTGAAGTGAAGCGTGTTAGCGGCCCTGGCGTGGTCACCTGCAGGCTTTGAAGCTCCCCATCTGCCACTGAGGACGGTGGGGGACAGTCCCACCTCCGTGGGTGCAGCCACTGTGCTCAGTTGCAGCTGAACCTATGCAGCAGTTGTGCACTGATTTAGGGAATCAATGAGTTTTCTTTTGTGCAGATGGGAGGGACTGAAAAGCTAATGAGGGTTTATTCTGGCGGATCTGAGGAGCACATCCAATATTCTCGAGGCAACCATGAAGCGTTGCCCATAGTGCTGTTTGGACAACTGACTTTGCTGCCTGCGTGGTGGCACCCATGGATGTGGTCCCCGTGTCAGGGATGGGGTACGGGGCGTGTTGCTGCCCACAGCCCATCCTGAGCAGTGGCAGCCCACAGGCCCGGAGCAGGTCCCCAGGGTCACAACCGGGAAAGTCATAAGCCGGAGGGTCTCCTCTGCTGCAGAGGAAGGAGGAATTTAAGATGGAGGAGGTGACTGGAAAACCAGGCTTGCTAATATGCAAGACTCTATTCCTCCTCCTTAAACCGTTTCATTGTAATTACTGTGCAAACAGAAGGCCTGGGTAATTATTATGTGGTTTTGTGGGTGTAAGTTTAACATGTTGTTCCCATGCAGCTACACTGCAAGGGAAGACTTTTTCCTTTGAGTTTTTCTCCTTAACTCACTGCTTTCAGGTTCTCTATGGATTCAGTATAGCTAGTTAATAGTCACCTGAGTGGGAAATAGCTCTGAACACTGATCTGTATCAGGGTCTGGCACTGCCATGAGGCAAACCTAATTTGAAGGAGAATCTGGGGAGAAGCAGCAAGTGTTTTTGCGGCTGCAGACTGTGACCCAGCCCAAAACACAGGGTGGGGGATTCAGAGTGCAGTCAGTAGGTCTCACAAGGCTTCTGTAGAGCCTTTTTGTCCCCACCCAAAGCAGGGCGGTTAATGAGATCCAAGGGGAGGCTCAAGCTAACAAATCCCGTGTTTGAGTGCTGGGGGGTTTATACAAGGATCCTGAGGGAGGGCAGCACTGGGTTTCACTTCTCAAGAGCTCTGGCAGCCAGAGCTTATTGAGCTGGATCACTGGTCTCTTGCTCTCTAGTTAGCACAGAGCAATGGTGCAAATGTATCTTAGGAACACGCTTTTGCATTTTTATTTCTGACTTCAGCATATTGTACAAAAGGCCATGAAGCTCAGCTCATATTAATTTATTTATTGTAAGAGAAGTTTCCATGGAATTAGAGCAGCTTCCCCTTTTGTCTGGTCATAATATGAATTTTGTCACCACCTTATCTCTTCAGCACGAAGCATGAAAACAAATCAGTGTAGATGTGGCTTGCTGAAACAATCCCACAGCTCAGGCTGAAAGAGGTGGTTACAAACAACTCTTTGAATGTATGTGTGCTTATGTGTCTGTGTGTAATAGTCAAACAAACCTCCCCTGCTGTTTGAGCTGCAGAACAGATGATTTGGAAAAGGCTCTCAAGTAAGTTATGAACTGTTTCCTGTCACCCATGCCACTGTCTCGTTCTGCTGTTCTGCTCCTTCCTATTGCATTTATTTCCTTCCTCCTTCCCTTTCCATATATGAAAGCAAAGACAGAAGTGCTCATGCTGAAGGCACCCGTACTTACGCCCTGCTCAGAGTATTTTTAGTAGAATCCCCCCAGTTTGGCTGCCCAGGTCTCACAAATAAACTAGTCAATGAAGCAGCCGATTTTTTGCTGGTTGGATAAAGATATTTGAAGCTGTTTCTTCTTTCCAGTTTATGTTCTATTTCCCACATGTATAGTCCATAGCATAATGGTCCCAATGAGAATTAAACCTGTCAGTGTTTTTGGACTTACCTCCACTGCAGTAGCTGATGTTTGTTCCAAGTGCCACAACATCCAAACTCTGTTGCGCTTGTCCTTCCTGTACACAGCCCCTCTGAGGTCTGCGTGAAAAGCTGGTGTATATTTGTGCCCACAAAGACCCATGTGTCCTCTGAAGTGTCAAAGGGGCCTTGACTTGCTCTTGACATGTGTAAGGCACGATGCCTCCTGAATTTTGAAGGACTCACTGTGGAGATGATTAGGTTGGGTAGGTTTGGAGGCGATAAAGGTGGAAGGGGTTATGATTTTCTTTCTCTTGTTTTCCTTCTTGAAGTCCACTGAGCCCATTTTATCTTTGGACCATGGAGGAGATGAGTGGAAAATTAAGATAGAAAATGGAAAATCCCAGGCTTTCATATTTCCAACAGGGGAAGAAACTTTATTGTACTGAAGCTTCCCACAGTATCCTGATGGGGTTTGGTGATGCTTTGCACACCTTGCCACGAGACTACTGCTTCAGCTGGTGGTGCTTTGACTGCAGGGGAAGGGTGTTTTTAAAATGTGATGATTCCATGCCTAAACCTTGTCTTGTGTCCTCAAGGCCCAGGTGATTTCTGATGTTGTGTAGGTACCTTGAGTCAGTCCAGGGGACTTTACTCAGTATAAAAGTACATCTTGCTCACAGGTGAGACAAGCATGGGGATCCTTTCTTACAGGAAACACAGATCAGGAGGTGAATGTCCTGAGGATCTGCCCTATCAGTCATTCCAAAGTACACCTGTGGTCACTGCCTGAGTGTGAGTGGAAGGGGAACACGTCCCATGTACTGTCCCTGTGGGCAGGGCAGCTGGGGCAGGATTTACCAGTGCAGCTCAGGAGAAGGTGAACACTTGCAGGATGCATTGTGTGCCGGTGTGGAAATGATACTCAGTCAACAGTGACTTATGTCTGTGGCAGGTACTTGTGTGGAAGAAAAAAATCCAAATTATTTACTTAAGAATGGGAAAATTGCTCTCAACAAGTGATTATGAAGAATCAGAAGTATGACAGCGATGTGTGTTATGTTGGCATAGCATGAGAAATTATTTTCTTTCCCCAGGAAAGTGTGCGAGATTACAAATCAGATGGAAAAGCTAGAATCTGGATATTTTTGCTAACCAGTCAATTAATTTTGTTTACTTTAACAGAATTATTGTTTTCCTGCGATTTTAAAAAAAAAAAAATAGTTCATCTAACTTTGATCATTTTTTATTTGCACTTGAAAAATATTTTTCTGAACTTTTTTTTCAAAATCAAGAAAACATATGAAAGTGACTTTTTCTTCTGATCACCTTCCATTTAATAGATGTGTATTTTTCAAAGGGACAATTACGTCAAACTTTTCTAATGAGCAACATGGTTTGGACATGGCCAAGAAAAGTGCCTGGCTTAGGTCCTGATTGTTTTGGTTTCTCCCATCTGTGGAATAAGCAGAGAAGCAATATAGGTGACAGGATGAGATGGTGAGGAGAACATGTCAGAAAAAAAGTCTTTTATACCTGATTTTTTTTGACAGAGGTCTAAAGAAAACTCTCAGTTTTGTGCAACAGAATTACATCCCGTTAGGGTGACCCTTCCTGGATTTTGATCTGCCCTGATATGCCTTGCAAAATTACTTGTAATGTTTAGATACTGTTATTAATTCCATAGTTTTGGGATTTCATTCTGTCTTGTTCTAGATTTGAACTTCCCTGATGTCTAGAGGTTGTCTGGAGTCTGGCTGGGCTAATCTCTGGGGAGAGAAATGGGAGATCTCTGTGTTATTTCTGTGTCTTTTAAATGTAAGTTCAGAGCTCTCCTGTTCAGTACCTTGGAAAATAACTGATGACAAAAGAGATCTGGAGTTTTGATAAGAATTAAATTGAATATTTGTCCTGAACCAACAATGCACTTGAACTATTCAGGAGATTCAAATAGTTGTGCTTGTTTTTAAAATAGTCCTTCTGTTTTCTTCAACTAAAATTCTCTGTGCTGATGTTGAACTCAAGCACTAAACCAATTAATAGTCCTAAATGCTGTGGGGCGACAGTAAATTTCTCTTTAAATTTCGATAATGGCAAATGGTCCCATCCTTCTTTTGTCATGGCAAAATACCACAGGAATTTTAAACATCACATGTAACTGAAAGCTGCGGGAGATATTTTTATAATTTACCAAGAAAGGGATGACTCCACAGAGCTGCTGATTTCAGAGATGGGCCCAAGATGAAATGTTCATATTGTCCCAGCTCCTAAAAGCACTGAAGCTCGGCTTTAAGCACATGCTTCCAATTACCAAATTGAGCAAAGCACTTAAAGTCAGTATAATTAACCATGTGCAAGCGCACCCCTGAACAGGAATTGCATGCTGCAGTCCCAGGTCGGTATCTCTGAGCCTTCTTGCTTTGGTGAATTGCAGTTTATTCCTCTTGGACTGAGGCCTAGTGCCTTCCTCCTTGGAGACCATTCCCATAATTCCTGTGTAATTAGATTAGCTCTAACTAGACCTACCTACAACAGACAGAATAAAATGTTTCTAACCTCCCCAGATCCTATTGAAAATTATGCCTGTGGTCCCTCCACATGGGAGCTTGTGCTCA